CTGTTCAAAAGTTCCGTTAATAAGAAGCCGTCAAATTTAATAAACATTTCAATTTTGTATGTTTACAAGCCGTTAAGTCGTGATGAAAAGGAAATAAAATACATAACACATATTTCCATTTAATTGGAGATGTCAAGTTTTGTGTTACGACCACTAAATCGGGTGCGACCAAAAGCCCCGTTTAACGGCAGTATCGGGTAAAATTTCCACTGTGCCCCGACTCAAAACCCTATATAAGGGTGAGTGGAGCCTATTGGAAACTTTTTACACTCTCTCTCTATACTCTCTCTCTAGATTCGTTTTCGCCCCGAAACCGCAACCAAACACTTCCAAATTGTAAGTCCGCTTACCCTAGCCTATTCTAAACGTATTAATTTATGTTTATAGCCCAAGAATCATCCAAGAAGGCATGGTATAAGGAGTTTATGGCCCAAGAACACTCTAGGGCTGTAAACCCCTAAAATGGTGCCAAACATGCCTCTAAACTTGTCCATAAGCTTGGGAATAATTAAGGGATATAGCCTAGGAGTGTTTAAACATTAAAAGGCATGATTTTAGGACTCAAACAAGAGTTTACGGCCCAAGCACAAGCTTAGGCCGTAAACTCCTCAAAATCATGTCAAAATGTCCCAAATGTGCACCAAACTCATCCTAGGGCTTATTACATAAAGTAGGGACTTATCCTCTTGAGTTTAGACACTTGAAACACTCCAAAATGATTAAAGAAAGGAGTTTACGGCCTAAGCATTTATCTAGGTCGTAAACTCCCCAAAACCCCCTCAAATGTTGGTTTTAATCACCCAAAATAGCATCAAACTTCATAAGAAAATTCTAGGAAGGCAATAGGGGCTTAAAACTTCACTAAACTCAAAGGTTGAGAGTTTACGGCCGTAAACTCCCTTGGGAGAGTTCCTAGGCCATAAACTCTTGTTTAGCACCCTTAGAGGCCTCAAACCCACACATACCTTTTAGGAAAAGTGCTTGGAATAATTCTATGAACAAGCTAGAAGCATCAAACACCCAAGAATAGGACCTTGGGAGTTTACGGCCGTAAACTCCCTTAGGTTGGGCCGTAAACTCCTTGTTTAGTCCATGTTGGTGTTTTAAATCCATTTACACACTTGATATGTGAGTATAGCAAAGTCCCACAACTGATAAGAGACCCTTAGCATCGGTAAATGCTACCCGGGACCCCAAACACTCAACCAAAAGTGTTTTTCCACTCCTTTGAGTGTGTAAAATTGTTTAATTAGTATATTATATGCTAATTGTATGTGAACATATGTTATCATATGTTAAAATAGGTCCTTGTGTGTGTTCAAGTCCTTGCGTGACCCCGAACGCCCAATCGGCACTTTCGTCGGACCTACTTACACTAGGTGAGTTCATACCCCTGAATGAACCTTTTAAATGCTTTTAAATGTTTTATAGGGGGGGAATACAAGTTAAACATGCCAGTTATCATGTCAATCGCATATGATTGATAACCCGCATGCACTAGATTTTACCACTTTACACTGTTTTACCGAGTGGGACACCAAAATGACTTTTACCTGTTTCATAACTTTTACTTATACTGATTTATTCAAATTCATCCTAAATTGGTTTATGATAGATCCTCTAAGGTTTTAAACGTGTTTTACAAAGGAATACAATTTGTGATTTTCTCTGTACATAAAGGCTTTTCATTAAAGATTTCCCTTTTTGACGTATACTTTTACTTGTTAAACACTGCTGCTTCACTTATACTTATTTTATACTCTGAATCGGTAACACTTTCACTTATACCTATAGTCTCTTATACTTGATGACGCTTATACTTATTCACGCTCTTACTTAGTGATACGATTTCTCCTTCACTTATACTGGATAACGACTTTACTCCACTTATACTTGATAGACGTTCTTACATCACTTATTGTCGTCTCTGCTTCATGATACACTTATACTTGGTACGCTTATACTTCATGGTTCGATTATCCCACACTGTACACGTATACTTCACGACTCAGATGTTCCACTATACTCTTATACTTCACGACTCAGATGTTCCACTGTACACTTATACTTCACGACTCAGATGTTCCACTGTACTCTGATACTTCACGACTCAGATATTCCACTATACACTTATACTTCACGACTCAGATGTTCCACTGTACACTTATACTTCACGACTCAGATGTTCCACTGTACACTTATACTTCACGACTCAGATGTTCCACTGTACACTTATACTTCACTGTATGATACACACTCAAGCGTAGTTAGATGTATGTTTATACTTCACTGATACACACTGTTTTGACCTTGCTAGATGTATCTTTCATTTGATATCGTCTGGGGTCTGTTATCTCTGTTTGACCTTTCAAGATGTACCTTTCATTTGGTATCGTATGTGGTCTGTCTTCACTGTCTTTGACCTTGCTAGATGTATTTTTCATTTGATACCGTCTGGGGTCTGTTATCTCTGTTTGACCTTTCAAGATGTACCTTTCATTTGGTATCCTTTGTGGTCTGTCTTCACTATTTTGACCTTGCGAGATGTACCTTTCATTTGGTATCGTCTGCGGTCTGTCTTCATTGTTATGACCTTGCAAGATGTACCTTTCATTTGGTATCGTCTTCGGTTTGCGTTCACTGTTTTAGACCTTACCAGTTGTACCTTTCATTTGGTACCTTCTGGGGTCTGTTTCTCCATTTGTTAGACTGAACCAGGCATGTCGTTAGTTCGACACTTTCCTGGATACTATGACTCTTTTGCCTTAGTCAGCAGTCCTCACTACTGAGGCATATGTTATTCCCTGATGCCTCTGCTTTCTTTAATAATCAAATTCAATATTTTGATATTATTAGCAATTAAGGGAAACTTCTTCTTACCACATTACACTGACCAGTCTTGGTAGAAGGCTGCTTTTATTAAAGAAAATATAGGATTTTCTGGAAAGGACACTAATACACTGAAATCACTTAAACTACTGCTTTATAAAGTTATTTGACTAAATGATACTAAATACTTATGAACTCACCAGCATTGTAAAAATGCTGATACTCGCTTTTCAAATAACTTGTATTCTCAGGTTAGCATTAGACAGGTACATCCTCGGAGCTGTTGATGAAGATAGCTTAGTACCACGCCGTATTTATTCTATTACTTGTATTAGTTTAAATTGTTGTAATGTAACCTTGTAAAACTATTACTATTAATACAATGTTTTGTTGTACTTTGATTACTATAATGCATGTGTTGTGATACTTGACATGACGTCATCCACCCCAGAACGTTTCCGCCGTTCCGGTTTTGGGGTGTGACATTAATAAACTCAATCATTCTGGAAGTCAAAACATGCAAAGTGAAACACAAGAATAATACTAATCCCATATGGCCTCAAACCTTTGAGTATAAATAAAACTCCTTTTATTTATCACCTTATCGATTACTCATTATTTGTCGTTTCGGGTAATCAACTTCTTACTTGAATTACAACACTTATCCCATGCTCCTAGCATGCACACAGTGTTTACCTATGGTTCTTACTTTGTGAAATAGATCAAATTAAACACATTTCCAATCATTCTCATTTCACAACTCCAAATCCTTTTTCATAAGTGAAAGAATATCAAATTCTTGCTACTTATAGAATATGCTAGATTCTAACATTCTATGCAATGATTCTTTCATAATGTCACTGCACCAAAGTCACAAAGACTATTGCCAATGATATTACAAAGTCCTCTATCGGAGATTGTTACAAGAAAATTCCTTACACTACTAGAAAAACAGCCTTTTACGACGCTTATTGCGCGTCGTAAATGGCTCAGACGACGCGCAAATGCGCGTCAAGGAAGGCCCTGTCATAAAGAGAGACGACGCGCATTTACGACGCTCATTTACGACGCGCAGTTACGACGCGCCTTTACGACACGCAATGCGTATCAAGGAAGGCCCTGTCATAAAGGAAGACAACACGCATTCGCGTGTCGTAACCTTACGACGCGCGTGTTAATGACACGGAATGCGTATCAAGAAAGCCATTGTCAAGAAAGGCCATGTCATAAATGAAGATGACACACATTTTTGCGTATCGTAATTTTAAATGTTTAAAAAAAAAATACTTTTTTATAGATTTACTAATTTTCAAATTAAATTTGCATTTAATGCATCATAATAGAAAATAAAATATCATATATAAAAAATATAATCCATTTCATAAAATTTAATGTCATACAAAAATAGAATCTATTGCATAATATTTTATTACAAATTTGACATTTTTTTGTTTCCGTACTTTGACAATTTGTGCTGCTGCTGATTCCGGAGCCAATCCGTGACTGCATTCCAGAGCTGATTCAGTGGAAAGAGCATCCCAGACTCCATCACTTGAAATTACAAGCCGCCCACAAACAGAAGATAGCTGAAGATCATGAATAAATAAAATTTGTTAATAAAAAGAGGAATAAATTGAGTTTAATTACTAAAAACCAACATTCAAACCAATTAATGAAAGTTAAAGCATCTAAATAATATAGCATGGGATGCAAATATATCATGCATCGTACAAACAATGAAGATTTTTAGTTTCTGGAAGATTATTGACATCATTGGGATTAAGAGTTTTCTTTGCTTATCCACTGCACCTCACATGTTTCCATCACATTTGAAGGATTATAATGCTACATAGCTATATTAAAGATGCTGCAATATCTCTCTATTGTTATGCATGAAATCAAGACATATGATCTTCTAATACTAGAAAACAAGAGCAATTCGGAATAATAAAGCTACATACCTGAGTTTACAAGAGGTATCGCAAGGTGTTGCCGACTCAAAACCTAGCAGCCTTAGGCACTTATCAAGGACTGAACTGAGGATGCACATCTGATAGAAAAAAGATAAAAGTATAATTACAAGGATTAATAAAATCTATTCGGAAGCCAGCAATGAGAACCAAATTTATTTAAAAAAAAAGGAGATAGAGAAAGAGAGAGACTACTTGCATCTAGCCTCTAAAAATGTGCTTTGTGTAACCATCACCTAGATCAGCACCAATTTGGATCTTTTGATCTGAGGCTCTGTTGTGTGTCTCGTTTAAGACATCCAGACAATTTGAATGCTTCTTCTCAGTTTGAAACTGCAATAATTGAGATACAATTCATTTTGAGGGGATAGATAAAGAAAATATGAATGACCATCAATTTATCAGTAATCAAAAGGGATGGTTCTCTTCGGCAGAAAGATAGAGCCTTTGATGGATCCTAGTGAATCAGTTACTAGGGAATGTGACATGTAGATTGGATTGGTAAACCTGAAGGTAACAGTGTCACTGTAGGGTTTTGCATTTTCTTGAGACTCAAGAGGGCAGTGATGTCTTCAGTCTGTTTAAGATGATAATGAAAGCACATTACATTAGTACAGGATACAGTAAATCTATCATGAAAGTACAATGGTTGCATTTATCAAAAGTGAAAAAATTGTGTCTTTAGCCATGAAACTTACCAGCTATCACCCAGACAATAAATTCCTTGTCCTTCTAGAAGTAACAAACCATGTTGATTATAATGGACTTCGTGCAACAACAAAAAACTATTATAGTTTTTATTTTTTCAAGACTGTTGATTTAAATAAACACATTTTAATAAGTAATGTAATGACATACTTTTAAAAGAAAATGTCTATAACCCTTGCATTACAAAAATGTCTATAACCCATACAAGAGATAGCGCATTCCTTAACCTCCTGGAGAAAGACAATTATGTTATCCCAAATTCCCAATACAAGTTCACAAACAAGTACTAACCAGGTCTTGATCTCGGTTTGTCAATCGTGACAAGATGACATTATATATTGGATGGATATAAGGTTTGAAATCAAAATTAGAAACCTAAACAAATCAATAAAGTAATATTAGAGCAGAAAAATAGATAAATACAAGAAATTTTTGGAATAGATCATGAAATAGAAAGGGATAACACCTTAATGTTTGCTCGAATAAGTTCCCCGCATACTCTTAATGCCTCTCCAGTAACTTTGTAATAGCGTTCACCAACAACAGATAAAACAGGAGCAGAAATAGCCTACAAGAAGATGTCAACATAACAGTAATATTAAAATCTAGAAATCCTAAAGTAGAAACCAAAAAAAAGTGGGATCCTTTATATGGATAATACATTGTAAGGGGCCGGAATAGTAACTGTCAGATGCAAAACATTATTGCTCTCAAGAAACTACAATGAAAATATTAACGAAATCACTGATTTTTTTCCTAAGTTATAATAAGCAGGTGGATCATAAAGTGTGTTTTGGGATATAATGTAACATAATAATCCATTCCATATTAATAGTCTCTTAAACTAGACAGTTCAAGCTGGTAATTGCACTACTAAAAATTGATACCAGCTACATAGTCTTTTAACTGTTCATTTGAGAATTCATCTTCTTTTCTTCTTTTTTGAATTTTATCCATTTGAGTACTACTTCTTGTTCACTAACAGATCCCAATATTTGTTTTTTGTTTTTGTTATGTTTTTTTTAATTTGATTTTTGGGGATTTTGTTTGGTTTCAGGTTTCTTGTGGAGGAAGATGAAGGACATTAAGAAGACGAAAGAGACAAGGGCATAATGGTCATTTTCATAAATAATTGGTTGTGTCGTAATCAATACTCTTTAAATAATTCCGTAAAACATCTGAAATGCATTGTTTTTGTGATTGTCATTAAGGATCCAAGAATCTATTTAGACATGAACTTTGTAGCTGAATCCATTGAAGAATCAATCAACATTCTCATTTTCATTCACGAGGGTAAAATTTGAAATGAAATAGCTTTTACCATAGAACAAATATAGTCCTAACAAATGATCCTACGGCAGAAAGTGCAAATAAAATTCATAAATTGATCTCTACCGGAAATATATGCAGAAACCAAAAGAATTTTTTTCATTCAGTTTCCTCTTACCGAGTATAAGACTCACAGGAACACAGTAAAGAAGGGACTTGGACATGATGATAAAAAAAACTTAATCAAAACTATGAGTAATTTAACCTAATCACTACAGATTACCTAAAAAATCATAAACCCCTTAAAGTTTCTCTACATTAATTTGGGGAAAATATGAAGTAGCTCAATGCTATTTAGATAATGTATTCAAACTTCATGGATGGTTGCGGACCATTGTAAGTGACAGAGATGCTATTTTTCTGAGTCAGTTTTGGAAAGGATTGTTTGCTTTACATGGAACAGAGATGAAGCTTTCTTTTGCTTACCATCCCAAAACTGATGGTCAAACAGAAGTAGTGAACAGATGCTTAGAGGCTTATTTGAGGTGTATATGTGGGGAAACACCAAAAGAATGGAGTTTTTGGTTACCTTTGGTAGAATGGTGGTTCAATACTCATTATCAAAATGCTATTGGTATGACACCTTATGAAGTAGTGTATAATCAGCCACCTCCAATACATTTGCCATATCTTCCAGGAGAATCAAATGTGGAATCCATTGATAGATCATTGAGAAAAAGGGAAATGATGATTAATTCTTTGAAACAACACTTAACAAAAGCTCAAGTCAGAATGAAACAACAAGCTGATAAACATAGATCGGAGAGAACATTTAATATTAGGGATTGGGTATGGCTTAAACTTCAACCGTATAGACAACAATCTGTTCAATTACGGGCAAATCAGAAGTTAGCTAAGAAGTTTTATGGGCCTTTTCAAATTTCTGCAATCATTAGTTCAGTAGCATATAAAGTCAAATTACCCATAGAAGCCAAAATACATGGTGTGTTTCACGTTTCACAACTTAAGAAGTTTTTTGGGAAATTACCTATGGCTGCTTATATTCCTCCCTGGTTTCAAGGTAATGACGTGGAGAAAAAAAGCACAACCTGCTGCAATTTTGGGAAAAAGAATTGTCGATTTTCAAAATGCTTCTCAGATTCAATACTTGGTTCAATGGGATGGATTTCTAGAATGTGAATCAACATGGGAATCAGTTGAGTACTTGGAAGCTCAATATCCTGGATTTATATGTTCTGATGTTGATTTGACTTGAGGACAAGTCAATTTTTGCAGGGGGAAAATATGATATGGGAGTGAAGTTAGTTATAAGTAAATGAGTCACGTGCACAATAGATGTATACATATTGTTCTGATGTAATAGATCAGTTAGTTTTTGAGTAATAACAGAAAGACTTTCTCTCTCATCCCTTATTCTTTCTTATGGCTCAACTCCTTCTTTCTTTCATTACAGTAAGAATTGCCCTTACTGTAACGGTTGCATATAAATTGAAACATACATAAGCCCTAGAAATCTATTAACATGTAAAGTACCTGACTGATGCCATCGTTGTCAAAAAGAAACTCCTGGAAGAGATCAGCGACGCCCAATCATTGCGGTCCAAAGAAGCAGGATCTGCAATACGTGTTTTGATGTTGTAACATTTTTGGTTGCAGATTTGTAGGTCATTTGGAGATAGAAGACTATCACAAGAACAATACGTGTTCTCAACGACTTATTCTGGGAAGCCATGTGGCACCGATGAGCAACAGAACAACTCCTAGATGAAGATGATGACAAACGTGGTGGGCGGTGGAGGCTTTGCTTAAGGCATCGAGTTAGGGTGTCCATCGGAAGGGTTTTTTTACCAGCGGGAAGGGCTTCTAAATGTGAGAAGCTGTTGTGAGCTCTAAGAAGTATGTGAGGTCCGGTTCAAAGCCCTAGTAACTTATTGATTACGTGAAGATGGGCCATATGCGAAGATAAAAGATGAAGACGGACCATATTTGAAGAATTTTGGGCAAAGGTATGGTTAGATTGGTTCAAAGCGTATCTATGGATATTAAAGCGGCCATGGAATTTGCAGAAGTTGTACCAATTTTAGGGATAAATCGAACTAGTTGGGTCTTTGTTGTTGATCTTCTTTGCCGTGATTACTGGCTCGTGAATAGAGAGAAAGGTTAGGGTTTCTTGATTGAGAGAAGGAGGGGGAGAAAATGAAGGTCATCAGCAAGTGGAGAGGAATGAATGAGCGGGTCCTCCAAAATTTTAGGGATTTTTATCAAGTGGAGAGGAATGAATGCGCGGGTCCTCCAAAATTTTGGGGATTTTTGTCGATCGATCATTTCCCGCCTAAAAGGCGTGTTTCATTAAAAATTTATAAAGCGACATACTTACATGACGTACATTTTATGAAAGGCGCCCTCCGCATTTCCTTTTTTTTCTTTTCTAACACTAATTTTAGGGCACGTACAAATGCGTGTCTTCTATCTGTCAAATTTTGCAAAACTGACACTATTTTTTAGGGCACCCACAAATGTGCGCCCTCTATCGGCGAGTGTCATTGTTTGCACGTCATTAAAGGCCAGTTTTCTAGTAGTGTTAGATACGATGTCTCTCACTCAAAGTACATTCCTTTGAACATCCTTTTGCATAAAGGTTTCTAATCTAGTCATAGATTTTTCAATATTTAATTTCCAATATGGACACGCTTCCATATTTTCCATATGACAACTTATTCTTAATAGAATCTTATCTATTCATAATAATGTTGATATGGTCCATTCAATACCATGCTTCCAACTACTCACAAACAACCAATCCTCGTCGAACTTTTGATTGTACTTTGATAGTTGTTTAACTATTTTAGTCAAAACCAATTCTAGTCCCCTTTTCCTCTAAATGCGCTAGACATTTGGAAAATTTTAGAATGGTCAAATATTAAAGCATTTTCAATCGATCCTATACTCGAAGCGTATGGGACACGACACATAATGTTTTATTTGCTATGTTCTCAAAATTCGAATTGTGAAGAGGAATGCCGTAATCATAATCGAAAATTTAAGAACACACTATGTACCTTTAACTAAATTTATTAACATTTCTCAACCTAAGCCTTTAGATTTGAAATGAAGCATAATATTCTCTCCTTAATTATAGCAAAACAACTATTCCCTTACAACTTTGTACTCTTGTTTTCTATAATTAATATTGCCAACTTGCAATACTTTCCTTAATAATCATACAATCATAACATTTATGCTCCCACTATCATGATGATTATTATAAAACATAACACTTATGCTCCACTAGCTTCGACATGTATTCATAAACATCTTAACTTTCAGAAAACAATACCTATTGAATTTCTTAAGTCAATGTTTCTAATACTTAGTACTTTGATCTTTTATCAAGCTCCTTGAACTTATACACCTTTGCCTTAGATAGTTCATATGTGTGTCTAAACAATTAAGACTAATTGCCAAACCTCACAATTCAAATTATGGAAAGGGATACCGTAACCATAATCAAATTCGAAAATGCAATTTTACAATCACTATCTTCTTAAAATCTTTCTTAGTGAAAACATTTTCTCACAATCATTTTCATGAAGGAGGAAATCTTATGACACTTAGATTTAAACGGTGTATTTGTTCTATCCATGTGAATTTGTTAAAACCAGAGTTTACGACAAATTCAAACTCATATGGACCGAACTTTCTTAATCTTGATTTCTTGCCTTATGGTAGCACAGCTGCCCACCACGTCTTCCAAGTAGTTAAGCAGCTCACCTTTTCCTATCAATGTACCTTCCATTGATTAAGGTGCTTTGCCTTTTATGCGTTCAAAATGAGAACTCATAGGACTCACATGCATAATTAACTCAATTGGAACACATAAATCAAAATATTGTCAACAGATAGGTTGTAAACCTCAAATCGTGTGCTAGTGATGATCGATAAGGTTTATTTGATTTGTTCTTGAAACTTTTCAAGACCATTAAGACTCCCACTGACTTCTTGATATATAAGATTCTCTTGTCAATAACCATTCCTTGACAAAACAAATATTCAAGAGTTAGTGTAGCTATTATTAAAACACTTCATAAATTGGTCCTAGTTGGCCTTTGTCTTATCCAAGACATCACAACTTTCCACATTTAATGAATGTTATAAACCTTCTTAGTACTTGTCACTTATTACCACAATCTTAACTTTAAGACTTGTTATTGGAATGATGTATGATTGACCTTTTGATTTAACCATTTCTTCAATTCTTGATTCCTCTTCTTAAACATACAATTGTACTAAGACTCACTTAGAGGATCTGTTAAGATATGGTTCTTAATCATAAAGAATAAGAGGTACTCTCCCTTCTTCTTAGAATGGAGAAACTTTTATCTTTCTGCCTACTTGATTTTTATTCGTTTTGCTTTTGATTTAAACTTTTTCAATTAATTCAAAATTACACTTAATCTTATGATTATAATCATATTTACTAAACCTTTAGTAAATTATGACGAATATCTTTGTTACTCTTATGGTGGACTTGATCAACACACAACTTTGTGTGCTCGATCTCCTAGTCCTTTCACTTGACACTTTGTCAACGAATTAGTCTAATTTCCAAATATGAAATTTCTCATTCATCATGCAACCAAGTTGCATGATTCCAAATTTCTGTCCAATTGAAATTTGGGTGATGAGAAACTCTCCCTATTTGGTAAATTCTCGACTTTTTCCATAAGAATCATATCCATTTGTTGAAAAAAATATATTCAAACATCAATTTTCATAACGATTTCATTGCAAGGAAGTAAACAAATAAATAAGTCAAACCAAAATTTATTTTATTTATAAAAGCAGCGGAAAACATTTGTCCTTACAATGAAAAATCCATTGAAAACTATGTATTTCAAAATGAAAATTTCTAACAACTCTATTATAACTATCTAAGCTCAAAATCTAATCTTCAAGTCCATGCGATCAAGATCCATTTCTTGTGATTAGATTCATCTTGCTCTTTCACCAAGCTTCCTTTCTTTTCACCGATCCTGCAAAACATTCAAATGCAATCTTATCACATCATGTATTTGAATCAATGAATAGGAACTTAACGAAGTTAGATAGTGGATTTTACCTGAAGCGCAGTCATACTCTTTGACTCTCCCATCTTTGGAATTTTCAGGCTCTTGGGGCAGACTTCTATCCAACGCCCTTTCTC